GGACATATATATAGAAGGACAAGCGAACAAATATATATATATATATTTGTTCGTCTTGTCCTTCTTCACATTCGTGAGAGAATCTTTGAGATGGAAGAAACGTCGACGTTAATTCTCTCGACGATCCAGAGAGGGTCGGTTTTGCGCTCCGCATCGTACAGTTATGTTACCTGTTCTCCGTCTCATTCTAACGAGTAGGTGATTACGACATAAGCGTGTATAGCACTGCCGGTGTGCATACTTGCGAGTAAGGCGAGGTAACAATTCCACGGACGCTTTTACATTAGGAACGTAACAACACACAGAGATCAAATTCATTTTAACATCCTTGACGTACAAGAAATCGTCCTGTGTATCCGTATATCTTTCGATCTCTCTCACATTATCCATTATATTTCCTTTTTAACAAACATATCAAATGACTAACACGGAATAACAATCGTTTCTTTGTTTCAAAGAAATTATTCATTTGTTATATATATATATATATATATGTTTGTTTATATATATGTTTTATATATTTGTTTACATATATATTATTAATTTGTTTTTATATATATATAAATAGTTTGATTTACATCAACAATTGTTTTATTCTCTTTTATATATATATATATATATATATATATATATATATATATATCTTTTTTGTGCGTCTCTACGAACGATACGAAGATGGCCGATCTCGTACGGAACACGTGACACGAGCACACTCATGGCGGGTTATTTCAAAACGCAACTACGATTGATTATCTATGTATACATTGTAAATACAATATCATAGGAATTAATACAGAATGAACAAGGAAACACGGCATTGAATCAATTTGCATTATTGTCTAGAAAAATTCAAATGAAAGCTGTTGAGAGTGACGCTTATATATACGTCTATATGTATATATATATATATATATATATACATTTCAGAAGCTAAATGCGTTATTTAGAAACGGGTTTCGCGGTGAAAGGTATCGGTAAGTTTTAACACGACGATTTTTCGATCGAGCTCGACCAATCGATCGTTGAAACGTCATAGAATATCGCGTTGAAAGAGTCGAGAAGAAGAAAAGGAGGATCATGAGAATGCAGGTGGTTTCTTGCATTGTTTGGAATGTTACACATTGTTGTTGCTAGTTGCGGTGAAAGAGAACATCTATTTATCATGAAAGTATTCACGAATTAAGACTAAATATTTTTATTATTATTTATAAAAAAAAAATATATATATATGTGTGTATATTAATAAATACATATATTTATAATTATAAATAAAATTTATAATCATATATGTCCATATATATTTTTATAAATACTAAATAATTTTTATAAAAATATAATTATTTTAATTATCACTATGAAATTGAATTGCCATTTTCATGGTTCACGAAACCTAAGAAAAGTAAACTGGTACTAGTACAAGGACAACTTCATGTTCAAATTGAATATTCATATCCTTTCTTTTAGATAGTTAAACGTTCACGTATTTATCCATATATTTATCTATCCTATCTCGTTTTATTACATAAAATAAAAACATATATCTCCAAGTGTATCAGGTTTGTTTTTAACTTCTCTTAAGTAGGATTATATTACACGTTTTCGTGTTTCTACGATCTCGTGTACAAACTACTTTATAACAGTTACTATTTACAGAAAGCGTAGCATGCGTTCTCACGAGAAGCCATACGTTCTCTCTCTTTTTCTCTCTTTCTCTCAGGTGACATTCCCGTAGAATCGCGCTTTCCTTTCTATCAAATTGCCGAGGATCGACGCCGTGGCTTCTATGTTTCGGAATAGTGGCGAATATAACGACAAACGTGAAAGCTATGAATGAAGTGAACGTGTAGGTCTTCCGTTGGATTCTCCCCCAACATTTTTTTATTCGCCCGTATCGAGTCCGATCATTTATTATGACACATTTTTATTTTTTATATTAGATTCATCCATTACAACGATTGCAATCAATTATTTATCGCAAGAAATTATTTATATTTATTTATTATTATTATTATTATTTAGATTGGGGAAAAAAGAAATCCATTAATTTTATTGGAAATCCATTATTTATTTATAAAAAAGAAATTCATTATTTTTGCGTGAACTTTAGACTTTAACGTGTTTCGGATTGTCCGATTTGGGTCAAATGAAAAAAAAAAGAAAAAATAAAATAATGGATTTCTTTTTCTCCAATCTAATATATAAAATAAATAAATACATATATATATATATATATATATATATATATATATATATAATCATAAATTTTATTTGAAAAAAAAAAATATATATATAATTATAAATTTTATTGTTGATGTTAGTTTAGGATCACGTCGGCCATTTTGAAAAGATATTAAAGAATGAGGTTATATAGTAATGCATACATATATGTATATATTTAATAAGCATTTAGTAGTCGATTTAATTGAAGAAATCTTTATGGAGGATGAATTAAACGAAAGGAATGTTGCGTTCAGCATCGATATATCTCTTTCAAGGTTAAAGAGATCTTCCATCATGTATGTTTCGCATCATGTCTACCACATACTATTATTATTACCAGTTTGTAATTCAGGAAAAACGTGGGTAGTCATGGAATCTTTTCTATAGTTCTTATTTGATTTTTCTTATTTTCATTGTCATAAAGAATATCGAAATAATTTGACCTTTTATTATCGGGTACATTACGCGTGGATTGCCTTGTACTCGATTGATCATTAGAAACGAAGATGATTGTAGGCGTAACTGACGTGCTTTTTCACTCTTAATGGATTAAGAAATTTATTGATTATTATTATAGTTTTACAATGTTATCGACTATCTTATGAAATTTTATATTGAAATCATTCAATGATATTTTCCATGAGTATCTAGAGATTAATTTTCTTTCTTTCTTTCTTCCCTCCTTTTTTTTTTCCTTTTTTAATGAATTTTCTTCTTTCTTCTTTTTTCTTTTTTTAGCAATATGCAGGCAAGCACGCCGAACAAAGTCATCTGATAGATCAAATGAATGCAAAGTATTATTACTATACAAGAACTCAGGGACTCTTCAGGATATGTTATCCCAAAGAAAGACCACCTACGGGTAAGATAACTTATAATACTTATTATAATACTTATTTGTAATTTTATATAAACGTTGTATATAAATTAGAGGGAGAAATTTTCTGCATGGTAATAGAATTGAAGGGTAGAAATAAAAAAGTTTTTGTTTAGATGTATCAAAAAAATGAATTATTAATAAGTTACTCATTTCTATTTTTACAAAAACATTTCTTTGATTCTCTCTATAATTTAAATTTTTGTCTGATCTGAATGAAAAAAAAAAAAAAAAAAAAAAAAAATTATATAACACGAAAGTTATAGTTGTCACTTATATTACATTTATTATGATGATACAATAAATATAATTTATATTTAAAGAAACGTGAAAAATTTCGAACGTTAAGTAACATTTAATTTTTATTAAATGAAATACAAATTTTTATTTAAAAAGAAATAAAATTTCGAATTTCAAAAATACATACACATACGTATATATGACTTTAAAGTTATATGACATTATAGAGAGTTAAGAAATAAATTGTTTAAGATAAATTTATAAATTGAATATTTATAAACAAATTCAACTCTTGAGACACATATATAATTTTTTTCTGTTTAAAAAAAAAAAAAGACAAAAAAAAAAATATATATATATATATATATATATCTTTTGCAGTTGATATAATCGAAACTGCAGGATCATTGTATACGTTTCTTCAATAAATAATATCACATTTCGCGTAGCATTATTAAATTTTTATCGCGTCAGTGCGTCCGGTGAATTTAAACAAGTGCATACATACCTGCACATATACATATACCTACAACGTTATCTTCTACATGTGCAGCGTGCGCGCATGGCCGCGATTTCGATACCCGTTATAACACAAATTCTTCAGCGTAAATTACTTGATCGACGACATCGCATCTTCCACGGTAACGATAAGATTTTGTAACAAAGCACGATGGAGGTACCAATCATCGTGGTATATCTTTCATCGTGGTAATCTCGTGTTTGGACCGTTGCAATCGGACATTGCAATGGCGTTCCATATGGAAAAGGTTACACCTTTCGGTCGATCCGTTATTGGCATTAAACTACCAGTGAAATGCATTCTATGCTCTCTCTCTCTCTCTCTCTCTTTCTTTTACTCCCTCTTTCTCTCCCTCTTTCTTTGTTCATCTTATATAGCAAGTATGTCAAATGTGCAATCTGCCAACGCATAGCTAAATTATCTTATTTATCTATAAGATAAATATACAATGAGATATTTTTTTTTTTTTTTTTTTTTTTTTTTTGATAAAAAAGAGATAGTTGAAATGTATTTACATAAGTCTTGTACTATATTTTTTATATTAATTTTCTTTTTTTTTTTTTTATTTAAAAAACATTTATTTTCAATGGATAAAGTTCGTTTTAATGAATAATTAAAAATGTGTCTGTTGAAGTATCTTTTACGAGTTTTTTATGTAAAGTTAAAAAAAAAAGGAAAAGAAAAAAAGAATTAAAGCAAAGATCAAAGTATAGTTTATCGTATTCAAGAAAACGTGAAATTTCGATACGTGTTGTCCATTAAAATGTTAATAATCGAAATGAGAAGAGAAAGGTAACTACTTTCGTAGAAATATCGATAAAGACGTCTAATCATATTTTATACTTTGAAAATCACTTGGCCAGACTTCCTGGTGAACGTCGTCATCATTTATGCAAGAATCGTGAGCTCACATTCGTAATCAACGGTTCACAATGTGACACCAGGAATTATGCAAAATGCTTGATGCGTATGTACGAGAGATTATTTTCTCGGAGGATCGTAAATCTGCTGACATTGTTGCTTATTATAGATATACATGTAGGATACTTCTATATAAGTGTGTATAAAAAAAAAAAAAAAAAAAAAAAAGTGTAAGGACAGACACTGTAAAATAACGCGAAGAGAATCTTCTTACATGATTGTAGACTATTTTTATTTACTTTTATCCTTATTCTTTTTAATTTATTTGTTTCCTTTTTTTTTTTTTTTCTTTCTTTCTTTCTTTCTTTATATTGTTTATATATCATTTCAATATTCTTTCCTCGAATAATAAAAGGAAGAGAAAGAGATTCTTTCGTCTAAAAGAAATTTCAAATTTGACGCGTCAGAAATAAAATCCGTAATGATTCGAACTTTTGGAGCATTAAATTTATCTCACGATACGCTTGAATAGCCATTGAGAATTATTGGTTAAACCATCGGAGACGATAATTTCAATGAGAAGAGAAAGAATATAATGAGACACGTATGATAGTTATGAAGATATTTTCTGAAAATGAGAACCAATCGTTTCGTAAACAATCGTGTATTCAACGATATTACTTTTGACAATCTTATTTTATAAAAAATCATTTCTACCATATATGGAAATATTTTGTATTTAATATTAACAGGGACAATTATCAGTATCATATTTTTATCACGTTTATTGATCAGTTTGTAGTTTTCAATCGTCATTTATAATATAATCACTTATCATATTTCATGGTTAAAATCGAATAAAATAATATTCGGTGAGTTTTGGGGGATGGAGGAGGGGGAGGGGTAGGGGGAGAAAAAAAAAGCAAAAAAGAAAAAAAAGAAAAAAGAAAAAGAATTTCAACGAATTAATTAATAGATCGGGTTTCAGTTCGCCAAAATGGCAGCTTTCGATACCGGTATTTCGAAAACGAAGAAATAAACGAAGCAGTGTCACCGTAGCTCGTGCGTAGCATATTCTCTTGAGTCTCGAAAAGTACGTGACCTAGAATGCAAGGCGCTATCGCTGGGCTGCTGCTGTTGCTGCTGCTGTTACCGTCGAGCTACGTAGGCTGGTTACCATCATGTTGTTGTGTAAAACGTGTAGAACACATATGTGGTACCATTACGTTAGTAGTGAAATAGTAATAACGTACATATATACACATACATAAACTTAGGATTGGTCAATAAATAATGTCGGAGCAATTTATAGTATTTTATATTTTATATTTTATATTTTATATTTTATAATAATAATAATAATAATAATAATAATAATAATAATAATAATAATAATAATAATAATAATAATAATAATAATAATATTAATAATAATAATAATAATAATAATAATAATAATAATATATCTTTTATATTTAGTAATAAATTACACGCCAGTATTTTTTACTATAAATTTTAACATTTCTTATCCAATCCAATACTGTACTATTATATTGTACTATTATATATATATATATATATATATATATATATATATATATATATATATATATATTTGATTGGCCAATGAGTAATGTCGGAATTTTTAGTATTTTATGTTTCAGAATAAATAATGTTAGGACAAATAAACAATAAATAATAATACTAAATAAAAAATTATAAATCTCTCTCTCTCTCTCTCTCTCTCTCTCTCTCTCTCTCTTTCTTTTTTTTTGACTCTTTAATAATTTATAGTTGAAATTTTTTAGTTTTCAGTAGTGAAAAAAATAATGCAATTTAATTAAATAAAAAATATTAAATATTCCTACATTATTAATTGATCTATTTAACATTATATTATATTATTTATTTAGATATAAAGTAATACAAATTCATTATTACTTATTGATTAATATATTACATTAATATAGCGTTATTGTGATATAAACTGTCGGTCAATTACTATGATTTTTTTTAGAAAAACTATATCGTTAATAGGAAAATCTTAATCATTGTTAAATTATCATTTCGAAGCCTCTTTTATGACGGAAGCCTCTTTTATGACGGAAGCTTCTTTTATGACGGAAGCTTCTTTTATGACGGAAGCCTAGTTTATGACGGAAGCCTATTTTATGACGGAAACGAAATCGCGTCTTGTCCGTTCTGCGGGCCGCGATCGCTTTCACGCTTTTCAGACGCGTTTTCAAATATGTTGAAACGTCCCAAGTTTCTTTCTGTTGTTGCATTGTATGATTGTATGTCAATTGCTACTTCACAAATCCGATTAATATCTAGTTAGATAGCTAATTAAAAAAAAAAAAAAATGAAAAAAGAAAGAGAGAGAGAGAAAGAAAAAGAAAAAAGAAAAATGGAATTAATTGTCTACTTAGATCGATTATTTTTTTTTTAATTCATAAAATTTCACCTATATAAAATTTAATGCTATTAATTAAATAATATTACGATAAATAGAGAGAGGAAATTTCTAATTTTCATTTGAAATAGAAAAAGGAAAAGAACATTAGAATTGTTTTCTTGTTTAATTTATTCGTATGTAAGAGAATAGTTCTCAGAATTATCATTATTATAGTATTGTATACTCAATGAAAGTACCTTGTGATTATGTGTCTTGGTATTTGTTGAAGAAAAATATTTGTTCTAATTTCCGACATAGTACATATGTATACATATATATAATTTTACATATAGGATACGTAGCGCTTCACTTTCTATCTATTTGATC